CATACTTCATGCCATGATACTTCATAGGTAAGTAATGTGCCATTTGCTTACCCTTTTCCTTAACCATGAGAATTTGGAGCTGCAGCCTTCACATTGTGCAGGTATTGGAGAGGGAGACATCTCTTTGTCCTAGAACGAAAAACCGCAATTATTGAAGCACATTTTTGAGTTAATATTATATATAATCTTTACCAATGTTTATCATCTAAAATCATCTTCGTAGACAGACAAAATCTCGCAAGCGTCTAGCAAACAATATTCGTCTTGATGTCTCAAGTTCTTGAAAACCTCTGAGACAACCTCAGTAAACCATATGGAACTACAATTCAATTTAAAATAGCTCAAAATAGCTCAAAAGCTCTGACAATGAGAAGAGAAAATAATGCGACGGTGATGGCGCATTAACAAAATAATTTGGCATTCCAGCTAGCAATTAATTGTCGTTCTCAACTACCGCTAGGTTCGCTGTACTTGTTAAAGAATTTTTTTTTGTTTTTTAATATTTTTCTCAGCATAGTGTATAAATTAACAAAAACTGACAAAAATATTTTGTATAATGCAAATTCAAGCTGGAAAAAAATGTTTAGAAAAAAACTTATTTTACTTTTACTTGACTTTCACAGCGCCCCTAGCGGTCGTGATGCGTGAATCGGTAAAGTTAAATAGGACCTGAAATTCCAGCTTCGAAAGCTCGCTCAATTGGGAGTGTCTAAAAAGCAGACGAGATTAGCAGACGAGCCCATGCTCAGTAACTACTGGACCGATTTTGATAATTCTTTCACCATTCAATAGCAGGGAAGTTATATAGGTGCCGTTTTTCGTTTTTTGGCGATTGGTTCACTCTGACTGGACCAATCGGACCAAAATGGTCCAGAACCATACACCCCCTTAAAAGCAGACGAGCCCATGCTCCGAAACTACTGGACCGATTTCGATGAAACATTCACCATTAGACGCGCCGTGGTCTGAAACGGTGCCGTTTTGGATAATTTTTTGATTGGTCCACCCTAAGTGGTCCAAATCGGTCCAAAACCGCTAAAATCTGTTGCAGACGAGCCCATGCTCCGAAACTACTGGACCGATTTCGATGAAACCTTCACCATTAGACGCGCCGTGGTCTGAAACGGTGCCGTTTTTGATAATTTTTTGATTGGTCCACCCTAAGTGGTCCAAATCGGTCCAAAACCCCTAAAATCTGTTGCAGACGAGCCCATGCTCCGAAACTACTGGACCGATTTCGATGAAACCTTCACCATTAGACGCGCCGTGGTCTGAAACGGTGCCGTTTTTGATAATTTTTTGATTGGTCCACCCTTAGTGGTCCAAATCGGTCCAAAACCGCTAAAATCTGTTGCAGACGAGCCCATGCTCCGAAACTACTGGACCGATTTCGATGAAACCTTCACCATTAGACGCGCCGTGGTCTGAAACGGTGCCGTTTTTGATAATTTTTTGATTGGTCCACCCTAAGTGGTCCAAATCGGTCCAAAACCCCTAAAATCTGTTGCAGACGAGCCCATGCTCTAAAACTACTGGACCGATTTCGATGAAACCTTCACCATTAGACGCGCCGTGGTCTGAAACGGTGCCGTTTATGATAATTTTTTGATTGGTCCACCCTTAGTGGTCCAAATCGGTCCAAAACCCCTAAAATCTGTTGCAGACGAGCCCATGCTCCGAAACTACTGGACCGATTTCGATGAAACCTTCACTATTAGACGCGCCGTGGTCTGAAACGGTGCCGTTTTTGATAATTTTTCGATTGGTCCACCCTAAGTGGTCCAAATCGGTCCAAAACCCCTAAAATCTGTTGCAGACGAGCCCATGCTCCGAAACTACTGGACCGATTTCGATGAAACCTTCACCATTAGACGCGCCGTGGTCTGAAACGGTGCCGTTTTTGATAATTTTTTGATTGGTCCGCCCTAAGTGGTCCAAATCGGTCCAAAACCCCTAAAATCTGTTGCAGACGAGCCCATGCTCCGAAACTACTGGACCAATTTCGATGAAACCTTCACCATTAGACGCGCCGTGGTCTGAAACGGTGCCGTTTTAAATAATTTTTTGATTGGTCCACCCTAAGTGGTCGAAATCGGTCCAAAATGCCTAAAACCCGTTTGTACTTTGTCAGAGTCCGGATAGATTTCTGCAGCACAGAGGTGCCCGAAACCCATTGTCATGCATTTTGCTTTCCAAACTAGAGCAAAAATGCATGCTAATTGGGCCTGGGGCACCTCCGCGCTGCGGAAACCAGCTCATCGGTTGACTACATGAAAACGTATTTTTGGGCTGTACTTGAACCGATTTAGACCACTTAGGGTGGACCAATCAAAAAATTATCCAAAAGCAGCACCGTTACAGACCACAGCGCGTCGAATGGTGAAGGTTTCATCCAAATCGGTCCAGTAGTTTCGGAACATGGGCTCGTCTGCAACAGTTTTTAGGGGTTTTGGACCGATTTGGACCACTTAGGGTGAACCAATAAAAAATTATCCAAAAGCGGCACCGTTTTACACCACGGTGCGTCGAATGGTGAAGGTTTCATCGAAATCGGCCCAGTAGTTTCGGAGCATGGGCTCGTCTGCAACAGATCTTAGCGGTTTTGGACCGATTTGGACCACTTAGGGTGAACCAATAAAAAATTATCGAAAACGGCACCGTTTTACACCACGGTGCGTCGAATGGTGAAGGTTTCATCGAAATCGGCCCAGTAGTTTCGAAGCATGGGCTCGTCTGCAACAGATCTTAGCGGTTTTGGACCGATTTGGACCACTTAGGGTGGACCAATCAAAAAATTATCAAAAACGGCACCGTTTTACACCACGGTGCGTCGAATGGTGAAGGTTTCATCGAAATCGGCCCAGTAGTTTCGGAGCATGGGCTCGTCTGCAACAGATTTTAGGGGTTTTGGACCGATTTGGACCACTCAGGGTGGACCAATCAAAAAATTATCAAAAACCGCACCGTTTCAGACCACGGTGCGTCTAATGGTGAAGGTTTCATCGAAATCGGTCCAGTAGTTTCGGAGCATGGGCTCGTCTGCAACAGATTTTAGCGGTTTTGGACCGATTTGGACCACTAAGGGTGGACCAATCAAAAAATTATCCAAAACGGCACTGTTTCACACCACGGCGCGTCTAATGGTGAAGGTTTCATCGAAATCGGTCCAGTAGTTTCGGAGCATGGGCTCGTCTGCAACAGATTTTAGCGGTTTTGGACCGATTTGGACCACTAAGGGTGGACCTATTTATATACACTGTGGGTGGACCAATCAAAAAATTATCCAAAACGGCACCGTTTCACACCACGGCGCGTCTAATGGTGAAGGTTTCATCGAAATCGGTCCAGTAGTTTCGGAGCATGGGCTCGTCTGCAACAGATTTTAGGGGTTTTGGACCGATTTGGACCACTTAGGGTGGACCAATCAAAAAATTATCAAAAACGGCACCGTTTCAGACCACGGCGCGTCTAATGGTGAAGGTTTCATCGAAATCGGTCCAGTAGTTTCGGAGCATGGGCTCGTCTGCAACAGGTTTTAGGGGTTTTGGACCGATTTGGACCACTTAGGGTGGACCAATCAAAAAATTATCAAAAACGGCACCGTTTCAGACCACGGCGCGTCTAATGGTGAAGGTTTCATCGAAATTGGTCCAGTAGTTTCGGAGCATGGGCTCGTCTGCAACAGATTTTAGGGGTTTTGGACCGATTTGGACCACTTAGGGTGGACCAATCAAAAAATTATCAAAAACGGCACCGTTTCAGACCACGGCGCGTCTAATGGTGAAGGTTTCATCGAAATCGGTCCAGTAGTTTCGGAGCATGGGCTCGTCTGCAACAGATTTTAGGGGTTTTGGACCGATTTGGACCACTTAGGGTGGACCAATCGAAAAATTATCAAAAACGGCACCGTTTCAGACCACGGCGCGTCTAATAGTGAAGGTTTCATCGAAATCGGTCCAGTAGTTTCGGAGCATGGGCTCGTCTGCAACAGATTTTAGGGGTTTTGGACCGATTTGGACCACTAAGGGTGGACCAATAAAAAAATTATCATAAACGGCACCGTTTCAGACCACGGCGCGTCTAATGGTGAAGGTTTCATCGAAATCGGTCCAGTAGTTTCGGAGCATGGGCTCGTCTGCAACAGATTTTAGGGGTTTTGGACCGATTTGGACCACTTAGGGTGGACCAATCAAAAAATTATCAACAACGGCACCGTTTCAGACCACGGCGCGTCTAATGGTGAAGGTTTCATCGAAATCGGTCCAGTAGTTACGGAGCATGGGCTCGTCTGCAACAGATTTTAGCGGTTTTGGACCGATTTGGACCACTAAGGATGGACCAATCAAAAAATTATCAAAAACGGCACCGTTTCAGACCACGGCGCGTCTAATGGTGAAGGTTTCATCGAAATCGGTCCAGTAGTTTCGGAGCATGGGCTCGTCTGCAACAGATTTTAGCGGTTTTGGACCGATTTGGACCACTTAGGGTGGACCAATCAAAAAATTATCAAAAACGGCACCGTTTCAGACCACGGCGCGTCTAATGGTGAAGGTTTCATCGAAATCGGTCCAGTAGTTTCGGAGCATGGGCTCGTCTGCAACAGATTTTAGGGGTTTTGGACCGATTTGGACCACTTAGGGTGGACCAATCAAAAAATTATCAAAAACGGCACCGTTTCAGACCACGGCGCGTCTAATGGTGAAGGTTTCATCGAAATCGGTCCAGTAGTTACGGAGCATGGGCTCGTCTGCAACAGATTTTAGCGGTTTTGGACCGATTTGGACCACTAAGGATGGACCAATCAAAAAATTATCAAAAACGGCACCGTTTCAGACCACGGCGCGTCTAATGGTGAAGGTTTCATCGAAATCGGTCCAGTAGTTTCGGAGCATGGGCTCGTCTGCAACAGATTTTAGCGGTTTTGGACCGATTTGGACCACTTAGGGTGGACCAATCAAAAAATTATCAAAAACGGCACCGTTTCAGACCACGGCGCGTCTAATGGTGAAGGTTTCATCGAAATCGGTCCAGTAGTTTCGGAGCATGGGCTCGTCTGCTTTTAAGGGGGTGTATGGTTCTGGACCATTTTGGTCCGATTGGTCCAGTCAGAGTGAACCAATCGCCATAAAACGAAAAACGGCACCTATATAAGTTCCCTGCTATTGAATGGTGAAAGAATTATCAAAATCGGTCCAGTAGTTACTGAGCATGGGCTCGTCTGCTAATCTCGTCTGCTTTTTAGACACTCCCGCTCAATTTGCGTAATTTGCGCTGTCGCGCTGGAAGAGCCTGGAAGAGCGAAGGTGAGGACCGTGGAAAAAAGATGCGTATATTTTAAATGATGTGGGTTTGTGGATTTGAGTGTGTTTGAGTCCAGCAAATAAGAGTTAGTAGGTATCGATTTCTATCACTTACTATTCTAAAATCAGTGTTGTCAAGATTGAGATTGAGGTTGGGTGCTGCATAATGGTTACATTTACTTGACATTTATTATTTTCACATGACTCATACAGTAGCTGAAGTGAGCATTAGTAGTTGATATGCAATATAGTTATTCAAGGCCTAGACAGCAAGCTCCTTAGTATGGGCTCCGACGGCAATCTGTCCCAATCCATTCCAATTCCTACATTTCAATTTGAGCTAAATCTTACCCATTTTACCCTAGGCTTAAAATTGAATAAAAGCTACACTATATTCTTTTGTCACAAACCATATCACCCTCAAAAATTGCTGATAGTCATTTACTCCTTAAAAAAAAAACAGGTAGGTTTCTACCTTACCTGACTGATGACTCAGTGTGTGATTGGGGGTAAGTCATACAGGGTGGACCAAAAAGAATGGATCATGGAAATATTTTGCACCTGCATAAAACATGTATTACCTACTGCATGCAAGTGACTGGGAATGATTGTGATACCAAACAAGAGTAGCAGTAGCGGAGAACCGTGTAAAGCGCCCAGGGTAGGTAAAACGACCCATGCCCTTATTTATGACACAGTTGTTTCCTTCCTTTTATAAACATTGCAGGTGAAACAGGTGCTGTGGAAGCAAAATACTGATGAAGTTTAGGGGGCGCCATTATCATTGGGCTGATTTTATAGCCAAAAACATGATTTTGATATTTCTTAACCCGCGCCCCAGTGGCGGTCTCAGCCAACTTCGCCCTAGTGGGGGGGGGGGGGGCATATGTTACCACCCACCTCTAACTCAAAAACTAAGAGGGCTAGAAAGACGCGGTAAAAAGCAGTCGATAGCTCTCAATGCGTACGTTTGAAAGTATTTCGGTCATTGAGCAATATTGGGGTCACTGGAGGTCATCAAAGGTCGAAATTTGCCAAATGTCATTATATTTTTCAGAAAACATGCATTTATCCCAGGAACTATGATAGCTAGAAAAACGCATGGAAAAGCAATCGATAGCTTTTGAACTCTTCTTTTGATAATGTCATCATCAAAATTGACCTCAGGTCAACGGTTTAGCCTCCAGAGGGCAAAAACTAAAAAAATAACTGTTTTTTTGCAAAGTGTTTTTCGACAATTACTTTTGCCTAAAAAAAGCCACGACATTTCTATTGCCAGAATCGTGTTCCTCTCGACGAGACGCGTCGAATGAACTATAATTTGACCTTGAAAGGTCAACTTGAAAATTTGACCTCAGGTCAAGGTCATGACCTGACCGGAAAAGGTCATGTTGCATATCATTCGATGCGTCTCGGCAAGACAAACACAATGAGACCATCCCCAGCGTTCTATCTCTTTCCAATAGAAAGTTATTGGCAAAAATCTGTATGTAGCCTCAAATGACCTCGGATGACCTTTCTAGAGGCTATCAGCAAAAAAGACACCTTGGTCGTCACGGGTGGTCCAAATCATTGTGATTCTGAAATATTTGGACTGTTCCTATGCGTACACACGGATCTAGAGGCATTTTCATTTTTCTCCATTGACTTATAATGGTAAGGTCATGCCACTGACCTGACCTTAGGTCACAGATATAAAAAATCCGAGATATACAAATTGTAAGCGCCCATAACATCATGCAATCCACCAAGTTTAAAACCTTTCTGACAAACACTGCAGGCTGGACATGATTGCAAACTTTTTTTAGGCCTGATCAGTTAACTTGACCTGGTGACCTGACCTGACATGACCTGGGGTCAAAAATTTCACACATTGTCCAAAATTGATGTACAAAAAGCTATGCCAAGCGGCGCGGCGCTACGCGCCGCGGTTTTTTATTTATACGCAAAAAACGCGACAGGGTGGTAACATATGCCCCCCCCCCCCCCACTGGGGCGAAGGTTAAATAAATATGTCATAAAAATGCCATTAATTCACTGTTCAGTTGTCAATTTGATCTGAGATGCTTCAGTACCTAAGCAAGACTAGTTCGTTTTCTACCCAAAGCAGTACAAAATGACTGTTCAATGTTTGCTGATTTATCTGATGTTGCCACAAAGAGGCATTGTAAAATTCGCAGATGGCTCTGGCGGCACCTGGTTTCAAAAACGCCCATACCATGTTAACATGTAAAAATGTCCTACATTCCAAAAGTGGCTTAATTGTGGTGCATTTTGCTGTCGGGTAAAGAGGTGACAAAAATATTGGGATTTTTCTTTGCAATGGGTCAGCTTATTGAGCGACATAACTTTGCTTGCAAATGCTGAAGTATTGTTTGTTTTCGAAACGGTACTCCTTTTAACTCTATTCGACGAAGGCCATGCTACTGACCCAGTAAACATGCCGACGTCGGGCCGAGGCTCGGCCCGACGTCGGCCCAACGTCGGTTCAACCTCGGCCCGACATCGGCTGAACGTCGGATATGCCCGCATGTTCCGACGTCCAGCCGAAGTCCAGCCGACGTCGAGCCGACGTCGGGCCGAGGTCGTTTGCCGAGGTTGACGAGATGGTTTGTCGTTGGACCGACGGGGCCGACTTCGGCATGTTTATTGGGACAACGCGCCAAAAATATCAACCGGCGGCGGGATTCGAGCCCCCCAGTCGCCGACGTCGGCATGTTTACTGGGACAACACGCCAAAAGCATCAGTCGGCGATGGGATTCGAACCCCGTGTCATTTGAACGCGAGGTTAGTGCGCTAACCACTACACCACGCAGCCAGATAGCAAATTTAGTTTTTTTTTTTTTTGTTGGGTTATGCCCTTTCGGTCTGACAAGACCATTTCAGAGCCGGAAGGATGATAGGATGGAGACATTGGTCTTCTTGGCGAGCACCCTGGGTCCAGTTCATATAGAGTCCCTGGTCCCATTGCTGTTACGTGACACTTATTGGAAAGGGCGACCCCACAATGGATTCATATAGCCACTCTTACACACCTGCACCAATGTTTCCCAAAGTGTCCCTTTGATAAGTGGCACTTTGGCAAAGTGACACTTGCCGACTGGCCTTTCTATATGAACTGGGCCCGGCCCTGGTGAGTTGCCGGGGCTGAGCCTGACCAAAGGATAGGCTGAGCAGCCCCCAAGCACTCACCGCACCCGGCTACGGGCGAGCTCGGCTTACGGGCAATCCCAAATGGGATAAAGTTTCCCGTCCAGTCCGGATCAGGGGGTTGCGGCGTGGAGGAAGATTTGAGTTTCCTGAAGATATTTTAAATACAGAAGCTCTTTATGAAACATGAAACATGTAACGGGTGGTCAGTATGAAACTGGACAAAATTTGATTAAGCATAGCATCTCCAATTATGGACAGATTTTAATTATTTTTGGCGGGTGAATGCTTCCAGTTATTCTATATTACCAGCTCAGATTTCAACTTTCTGCTATTAACTAGAAGAAAATATTGCGCCGTTAAGTCAGCAAGCGTTCCGGGACCTGTTCGCGCAAGTTTATGAAAATAACACAAATTACAAAAATGCTACCATTATGCGTCACATTACGCCATAGGGTGTAACCAGATCTGAAGAAAATGTGATCATCGATAAATTCTGAGGACTTGCAGATGTTTTGCATGGTGGGAACGGCAAGATCACCCAGAAAATGCTCATTCAGCACCGGAAGAAACAAACCGGCGCCGTCACCGAACAGTTGGGGCTCTCCTTGTGATCTCTGGGAAGAAATTTTGGAATCTTCAAAACAAATGACCAATTAATGTGTCAACAAGCAGGAATCAGGTACAAAAATAGGATAAAGGTGACGGAGGCACAATTTCATACGCAGAAAAGCCGCCTGCGCCGTCTGTCACAGGGTCGAATGCAGGGTAGCAAAAACATGGAGGTGCATATGGACGAAGAATCTTACTTCACCTGCAGTGGCAGCAAAATGCCTTTCATTGCCGAATTTTACACCTCAGCTGGTGGAGACACTATTCCTAATGTGGATCTCACCTTCGCTTTCGACCTGAGAGCAAGCATCCACCCGAGATGCCCGTCTGGCTTGTCATGAGTCCGAGGGGCTCACACGTCCAGTAACTTGCCGAGCACAGGTAATGTAAAGGGCGAACTGTGCTATGAAAAGTGTTTGAATGGCGTGTTGTTACCACTTATTGAGTCTCAGAACACAGAGCATGATGCTCTGTTAGGTTCCGACCTTGCGACAGTCACAGTACGCGCGCTAGAACACGAAACTTCTTGAGGAGGCTGGGGTGCCCGAAATAGCACGTGACATGAACCCACCATGGACTCCTCAGATTTAGCCCTTGAGGATCTGTGGGGGCTCATCAAACAGAAAGTGTATAAGGGAAGGTGGCAGGTCAGCTGAGACACACAATTGAAGCGGAAAATCCAGCAGGCCATCCGTCAAATCGACCCGGAGGTGCCGCGAAAGACAATAGCGGGGCTGCCAGCGCGCGTGCGCTTGGAGGCTGACAGAGGTCCAGTGTCGCACATCCATTAGGCGGAGCGTGATCACAACAAAATAATGGCACGGTAACGCGATTTTCGTTGCTTTCGCTTGAAAAGTTTCGACACAGTAACAATTCAAACTTTGTCCAGTTTCATACTGACCACCCGTTATTTTATATTAATTTAACGGTCAAAACAGCGGCCGATGTCGGTCCGACGTCGGCCCGACGTCGGCTGGACCTCAGCAATTGATCTCGGTCCGACGTCGGCCCGACGTCGGCTGGACCTCGGCTGGACGTCGGTACATGCGGGCATATCCGACATCCAGCCGACGTCGTGCCGAGGTTGGACCGACGTCGGGCCGACGTCGGCATGCCGATGCCGAGATGCCGACGTCACCCCGACGTCTACCGACGTCGGGCCGACGTCGGCATGTTTACTGGGTACTGGTACTGACCTTAATGCGTTTCTACTTACCTAAACAGTAGAAAAGTACGGCTG